AAGAGAATAGCAAGTCCTTATGATTGTGTTACCAAAACTGTACTTACATTCATGTAATCGTACAGCCTTTCTGAAGTGGTTCCTACCGATAAAGCAATATCTGCAGGGAAGCAATGCAGGTACCTCCGGGCAAAAACGTCGGGGTGGTGATTCCTCCAGAATTCCTCTAATTCTCCCTTTTCCTTCAGCTGTTTTTTGATAGATTTGAATCGAATGAGAGGAACTCTATGCAAATAAAATAAGCACACAAAAATTAACTGCATCTCCTTTCTAGAGTTCTCATATACTCTTTTTTTTTTAAAAATTGTTTCTTTTTTGAGACCTCCGGTAGCAACAAGCATGGGTCACCCCAGGAAGCCAGCTGAGACACGCATCAGTGATGTTAGACACCTTTTCTTACCGTTCCACAGCCACGGTGAATGGGATGTAAACCACAGCCAACAGTATCACCTTCATGGCTCCAACCGGTTCCGAGTCCAATGGCACTCATTTACTCAGAAGTCCCTTTTTTATACCCCGTTGTCAGCAGAGGGCCATTCGCCAGGTCAATCAATCACAGGAGGTCAGTGCTTTGGCAGAAAAGCGATTCATTTGCTCTCAGAGTAACCGCTGGATTGTGCAAATATCGGTGTCCAATGAAGCTACTAAGGCACAGATAACCAGGGGACAGTCTAGACCAAATAGACATTTTACTAACAATCCTTAATGTCTTTTACATAAATATAATAAATGGGGTGAGCTTGGCTCCCGTTAGCAGGGGAAAGAGGAGGCAGTCCAAGGGCTTGCCTGGTCCCCTCCGAGTAAGCTGCTTTTCAAGCTCACTTTAGTGACACGTGGCCCAGAAGTAACCAAGGCAGAGAAAGAGGACGTAATATATAACCATTTCCCTTTGACATGGAGGCATTTCAGCAGGGCTGAGCAGACGGACGTTTGATGGGGTTGTGACAAGTCACCCCCTAATGACTGAAGTTTAATTCCCTGTTTATGGGAGAGCTCCCGTCTAAACATAAATGTGATTGCCACCCAAAAAAAGGGTCTTAAAAGTAAAAAACATGACAGGCTGCAACACGTGGTAATAAACAGCCAGTGGTTTTGTACACATTTCAG